AAAAAAAAAAAAAAAAAAAAAAAAAAAAAAAAAAAAAAGAAGTAAAAGAAGAGAGATATGAGCTGGAGATATTCATTTGGAGTTAGGGGCATTATAGATAGTATTAAAAGCCATGGAAATTGATAAGATGCCATGAAAGGAATTAATGGACAAGAAGAGTAAAATTGAGAGAATGGAGGTCATGGTTAGGATGAAGAGGAGGCTTAATGGGCATGAAGGAGCAGAAATGGCTATGGGATCTGGTCCCACAGAGTGGAAGATGACAAGGGGAAGGCTATGTGCTGGGTAGATGGTTGAAAGAGTCGGGGGGAAGGTCTCAGGGCCCCTGAAGCAAATGTTTCAGGCTATTAATATAAATACTGAAGTCACCAAGGATGATGGCAGGGGGTGAGGCGGAGAGGGCAACTGGGAACTAGGAAATGACATAATTGTGTTATGGAAGTTAATAGTTGAATCAGTGATTCTGTGTGTGGTTCGTGGATCAGCAACCTCAGCATCACCTGGCAACTTGTTAGAAATGCAAATTCTCAAGCCCTATCCCAGACCTACTGACTCTGAAACTCAAGTTGAAGCCCAGCCCTCCGGGTGGTCCTTAACAATCCCTTTAAGTGACTCTGGGGCACAACACAGTTTGAGAACCACTGGCCTAGGAAATTTACAAATATTTTGATGCCGAAGATCTCTTGGAAGAAAATCACATTCAAGTAGTCTAAGGTGGGGCCTAGGCATTCATATTTTTTAAGTTCCCCAGGTGATTTTGTTGTGCAGCCAGGGTCTAACTCCAAAACTTAAGCTCTTTTCCACTATGCCATGCTGTGTCACTAACCTAAGTGACCTTGGATCAGTCATTGTCTCCTCTGCAACTTTCCCCATCTGAACAATGAGATTGGATTAGATCATCACTAAGGTTCTTTCCCTCACATTTCATGATTCCACCACTGTCGCACTGTGTGACTTTCGTCTACACCAAGAGTCAGTTTTTCAACTTGCCCTGTGATCAGAAAGGCCTTAATGGGTCTTCTAGAACAGAAGCCTAGTGTCCGGGAATGTTGTTTCCCCTCTAACCTTGAGAAAAGATGGCCACCATGCCTGCTATGCCACATTGCCTGTTGCTGTGTAAAAACTTCTGGTTGTCAGTCTCCACCGGCTGAGGGGAAATCACTCTGAAAAGGAAACACCTTCTTCTGCCAAAGCTTTGGGTGGGGCTAGAAAAACTGTTCATGACAACACTGAGTCAGCACATTCAGCAGGGTCAAGCTCACAGCTGGAGGGAACTGGAAGAGGGCCTTGGCTGAGGGGAAGCCTCTTCAGTCTCAAAGGGAATGGAATCAGAATTCACAAATTCATAATGGAGACTGGCAGGGAACAATGGCACCATGCTCAAATCAGGGGTTTCCTCTCAACGTGTTGGAGTGTTCAGATTAGAGGCCCCCCAAAATACTAAATCTATGGACTTCATCACCCCAAGAGATAATAAAAGTTCAAAACTGATTTTCAAAAGTTGCAAAATGGATTATTATGGATTATTTAGATATGCCCTCTGTGGGGCATGTCTAAACTCCTGAGGCTATGTCAGCAAGGACAACTGGGTTCTCTCCAAATGTGTACATTAGGGTTTGCAGATTTCTAGGGCTGGAGGGATCACAGATCTGACCTAGTGTGACATTTACACACATTAAGAACCTACATCCATTCCTCTAATGGAGTCATTTTGTTGCCTGAATCCTTAGGGTTAAATAAAGGTGCTTGGCTGGCCTCTGAAAGTACAGGATTTCTTTATTAGACTTTAAAAATGCATGGCTTCTTATCATCTCTAAGGGAAGATATACTGAGAAGTCTTTTAAATGATATTTTCCTGTAAGACTGGCAATGACAGTATAGGCATAGCTGATGGGGACAGCAGCAAAATCAAATGGCACACAGTGATGTAAGCATCCCCCCTCAGTTCTTCCTCTCCAAGATTACACTTTGATTTTTCACACAACATATATTTATTCAGAAAAAAATCTGCAATAAATTATAAAAAAGATGACATGAAATACAGAATCCCACTAGCAGCTTTGCTTAGTGACCAAGGTGTTTTGGGGAAATATAACAATTACAGAATAATAATCAGAAAACAGTAAATGGAAGACTAATGCAATGACACCACATGGATCTGAACCATTTCTTTCCTAAAACAACAGGGACAGAGGCCTTCCCTACCAGCTGGATCTCAAATGCTTAATTCAGAGGAGCTATGAAACAGTACCTTAGAGGACTTAGGAATTAGAGGTTGGGATGCTGAGATAGGCATGGTAGGAAAGCAGATTTCTTGTTTGGTCTGTCTTGTCTCCCCTACCTAGAGATTGTCTAAAACTCTCAACCCTAAACACATCCCAGGATGAGCTGGAAAAAAGGTTGAGGCAGTAAACCAATTTAGTGTTTTGATCTGATGAAGATAGGATGCTGTAGGTGCGCTGCACGGAGTCTCCACTAACCACTCCCTTGATCACCCAAAAATTCCAAGTTGGCAACGTACTAGAAAATGACCTTGCCTCAGCTTCTCTCATCTGCCTCTTTCTGTGATCACTTTCTGGCCTACTGGAGATGACAAACTGTTCTTTTTCAGTCTCCCATTAATTAAGTTCAGCACCCAGCCCCTGATCTATCAGATCTTCAGCTACTTGGCAACAATAACTTGACTCCTATTTCCCTAACTCCCAATCAGGAAAGGGTTTAACCAGTATATCACAGGATACGTACCTTTTCTTCCCCCACAAACTCGGCTTTTAAGAGATAGGGGAATTGAAGAAGCATTCAGTAGTGATAGTTCTCCTGCTCTCTCCTTGGATGTGCTAGAAGAGTCATGGAGTCAATGCCCAAGATCATACATGGAGCCTGTACATTCTACTCCTTGCATTAAATGTTAACAGGCAAGGATGGGTCAACTCAGGGTGGTTTTAATAAAAGAAAACCAGGAGGAAGCCAGATGCATAGGCAGTTCTGCTGTCAGTGGCTGGTGGCTTGTCAACCAACACAGATTAATTTTTAAAAAAAGGCTGTCCTTGGGGCCGGCCCGGTGGCGCACTGCGCTAGTGCGCCGCTTGGGAAGTGCGGCAGCGCTCCCGCCGAGGGTTCGGATCCCACATACAGACCGGTTCCCGCTCACTGGCTGAGCGAGGCGCGGG